TTCGATGTAGTTGATAAGCTCGCGTCGAAAATCCTGCCACCGTCGGGACTTAAAAGTAGGACCTCCCAGTCAGAGGGACTGCAATGACATCTGCTGATGCCCTGAGCCATCTCTTTCGTTAACCTCAAAGTTAATTTCTTTTTTATGTCCCCTGAAAACAACACTATTTACAAAAATCCCATACCATTCTATCAGATCAACAATGGATAACCCAAAGAAACTAACCATTCTTAACTTAATGCAAACGGCGTTAAGAAACAATACACACTCTTTCATCACCTCCTACGCCAACATTACACTGATAAAAGTGAATTCAACGACATGTAACCATCATCAATATCACAAAAAGTAGTGTGTGAATTGAATTTTACAGTCTCTTCTTCAGAATTGTCGCACTGGTCTTGCAAAGATTGGTAAAGATTAATACAACAGAAACGTGGAAAAATAATTTAAATAATATATTGGTGAAATTGACTCAGCCAATAACAAAGTCTGATTATTTAACTCTCGCATGAAAACAACCACGGTAGCCAAATGCTTCTTGCTCCTTCCCCAGGTGCAGGGATCCTGAATAAGCAAGCTGGCCGGAGAATCCGACTATTACTGAATTGACGGAGGGGACTGCAGAGTCCTAATACTTTACTCTCGAATGAGAGAAAAAACACGGTAGCAAAATGACTCTTGCTCGTGTCCCAGTGACCTGAATAAGCAAGCTCAAAGAAAGGAATGGAGTCCCATAAAATTTCTTCGGACTGATTGTGGTGCCTGGCCTTAACTGTAAGACTGCACCCCGATTGTTATTTTTACCGATACCTAAGAGCAGGATGGTTCCTACTATATTCTGCCAGTACCCAGTTCGCCTGACGCCAACAACGGTTAAGTCCCTAATATATTTACCGAACAGTTCAAAAAAACTGTAATGCCACTATTGTATCCAGATCATATGCCCATCAAAATTACTATTGACATATCCAGACACAATACACCAACATAACATAGCAAGAAAAGGTTATACTAAATGGAAGTATTTTAAAATGCTAATTAACCAAAAATTAATCTTGCCAACTCAAAATCAAAATAATGATGACATTAACAACATAGTCATGAATATCACTCAATTACTCTCTAGATCATTTTGAATCCCTTACGCCTCATATTATAACTGACAAACCAAACATCAATCCACTTTCTTCTTACACTTTAAAGCAAATGAAAACCAAATGTGCCATTTGACGCTAATGTATTTCAAACCGATATGAACATGACAAAAAGTTATTAAACAAATTCGCCAATTGAATTAAAAAATATGATAAGTAAAAATAAACATAAGTACCGGCAACCCCTCCAACAACTCCATTTGAATCTCCATCTCCTCTCGCCAGCTACGGCAGAATATTAAATACTTTGCCAAAGAGAGGAGCAATGTTCCCCCCTCTTATCAAATAAATTATCTATTCAGAGCATTCAAAATAATAGGAAAATACTTAGCAGAAACATTGAAACACAACCCAATAACTAACCAACAATTTGATAAACAAATATTCAAATTTATGAAACAACCACCCATCACTACAATGCTGCCCTCCGATTTGATTACTTCCCCCAAGTTTGAAAACATGCAATTATTTAACCATTTAATCATCCAAAAAATAATTCTAATGATCCTACTATCTACAGAACCATTAGTTTGCTCCGTCAACATCCAAAATCTTCGAAAAATTATTTTACAGTCAATTTATTAAACACAGATAACACTTCGCACACACATACCCAAAAAGCATTTAAGTTTAAGCCATATCACTCAACAAGTCACCTCTATTACTATAGTTCGACATTCAGCAAGTAATTTTCATTCAAAAGTTCACAAAATAGCTGTATTTAACACAATAGCTTAGACATTACTAAAGCATTTCACAGAATTTGGCATTCATTTTAATATTATTGGGACTCCTATTTTCAAAAAAATATTCACAGGTATCTTACCAACCTAACCTCTTAAGTCAAAGTTAACCAAATTGTTTTTTATAACCATATCATTCTTGCATTGTCCCTCAAGGATCAGCCCTTGCTCCCATTCTCTAATATTGTTACTGCAGATCATCCCCCAGCACCAAATTCCAACATAACCTTATATTCAGATAACGGCATTATTCTTATCTCATTGTGTGTCAGACAAACCGCTAATGATAAGTCAAAACATTAAGTATTTATTGATGTTTTATGAATGTTTATAAGCATCGGTTACGCCAATTTCTCTTTCTCTTTCATATTCGTGTTAACGAAGGGTTCCTAGAATGTTAACTTGCATGCTGTGTCTAGCTTTGTTAGGGGAAACCACAAGATGCCTGCAAATAATTTGAATTATTTTTAATGTCATGTAATGTTTTAATGTTAATCAATTTTTCAAAAGTCATTAGTGCATAAACGACCCATGACAAAGTAGCAGAAGGCATTTTTAACTTTAAAAATCTGGTAGAGGGATAGGAAGGAAAGAAATAAAAAATACGAAAATATGCCAAAACTCATTAAAAATTATAGTTTTGGAAGTGGTTTACGTAGGGTAGAATCGTAGATTTTTCTAACTGTACGATTATTGGTAATTAAAAATTAATAATGATAGTCGCTCTTGGTTTGTGCAAATAGTTAACAGAAGTTACGGGTTAATTGGGAATAAATCACTTTCATCAATTTGGCGAATTTTTAGCTGTTTTAAGAAAACTAGTTTATTTAATTTAAGATCAAGGGTTTAAGTAATTAGAAATAAGATTGTTGTAAGCGTTTAAAGTCATTTTGAGTAAGACTATTTAATAATTAAATTTGTTCAAAGAATTGGTAGCCCCGACTGGGACGCGAACACGGGCCCGGTTCGGGTCCCGGTTTGGGCAACCAATTCTTTGAACAAATTTAATTACTGAAATGGAATGTTACTCAGTAATGTGGTCACAATTTGGATTCCTTTCCGACTGCGGTATATATGCTCCGAGCGTAAGTGCACCCAATAAGATGACATGATGGGGACAATTATATATAAGATTATTTGGTAATTGAAGGGGGGGGGCAACAGAGAGTTAACCTACACTTCTGCAATTTCTGTTAGTTTAGAGGAAAGACGAATTCTAGACATGTTCAATTCACTGGGTAATTTTATGGTCACATTTGAACAACGTTTGGATTATAATCATGTGTTTTGGTAAAATTCAATTATTTGCATATGTGAGATGTGATTTAGCACACCTGGCCCTTCCGATTTGTTGACGTGAATTGTTCTTCAGAAAACCATTTTGAAATGTAAACGAAATTATGGAAAACTATATCATATTTAAAATATCTTTATGTTAACCCAAAACAATAAAAAACAAACCTAAATTTCATGAATTTTTCTTCAACCAATTTGATCTTTTAGGGTGTGACATTATTAATAATTGGTTAGCGCATTACTTTAGAATTAGTGGTACTACAGAATGGCCCTGACTTTCCCGTATTAGTTTTACTTTTTCTATTTTGGACGTGAGAGACAAGTAAAAAAATACATGTGTGTATTGTTTTAAAATAACATAAAAATAGAGCAATATGTATGTCATTTATGATATCTGATTAAATGCATAAAGCACTATCCCTACCAAAAGTTTAAAGAAAAATTGTTAAGCATTTTAAGAAAATCTTATTTTTGTTATTATTTTAAATTGTATATATTGCATGCAATGTTGCGCGAAAACTACTAAAAATTCCAAAAAAAGGTACATGACCTTAATAAAAGAATTTCAATTTTGTAGTTTTAGGAAGGAACGAAAAAAATCGTACTTTTGAAATTTTTAAATTTCAGAGTTAACCGTGAAAATCGGACCTAGGCAGTTATATAAGTGTATGTTACTTGATTCTTACAATACGTTTAAAAAGAAATTGGAACCGTTTCTGAGAAATTTTTGAAAATGACCGGGTGGTTTTATATTAAGTACCCCCAAATTTTGAAGAATGTTTTTCAAAATCTCGAAGTTTCGACTCAAGCCAAGTGGATAGAGGTTTCGTCAATTTGGAAACATTTTCATCTATTCTTCATTTCTTCTACAATTTCCACGTATGGTTTAAGCGCTTGTAGGGTGCACAGACACCACACGTGCAAACAGGTGGAGGGACAGACTGACGGACATACAAACGGACGGAGGATAGATGGATGTTTTGAAAAAACAAACAAAAAAAAAAACATTTTCGGTATCTGGGAGCATAAAACGTGTATTTCCATGGAAATCTCCAAACAGATTTACCGCAGCATTACATAACTTTACCTATACTACGTATATTACTCCGTACATACGTACGCATAAGGGAAAGTAAAAGGCTTCCTCTTTGGTATTTGATGGACGTAAGTGGCGCGTAACAATAGTTCAAACCTCATAATTCTTAATAAACTTTGTCATCAGGGAAATGGAGCGCTTGGGTTAAGATACATATTAAGTTTTCCAAAGAAATTTAAATAAAACTAATGTAGTATTGAAGTTACGCTTTTAATGATTTACATTTTAAATAAGATTTTATCAGCATTATTAATTTTCGTAATAATAATAATAATGATAATAATAATAATAATAATAATAATAATAATAATAATAATAATAATAATAATAATAATAATATTTGAGGTTGAAGGTGCCATGACGAAATACTTATTCACTAGTTTATTCTGGTATTACAAATTAATTTTGCTGCAATGTGTAAGGATATAACTGGTCTTTGTTCTCGAATCATTGATATTGCAATTTTGATGATGGCCAATAGTATATTTTATATTTTGTTGCATGTACATATCAATGTTTACAATTTTACAAGTGATGAGTATTTTTGTATACAGATATTCAATGTTACAATTAAAGGGAATGAATATCACAAGATGACAGATGGTAGTCGAAGTAATAAAGAAGTTCTTTTTCAAACTTAAAATTCAAAATTGGAATGGCAAGTGACGAAGAAAGGGGAGCGACTAAAGGCCAAGCAAGACAGTTCACTGTTCCTGCATTTGATAATAACGTGCTAGCAGGGCTGGCGCGTTTCGCTTGACGAAGCTGCCGAATCCCATGCGGTCGATTTCGTCGAAATTCTTTTTGACGAAGTTGTTGAAACCTAGGCGGTCTATCTCGTCGAAGTTCTTCTTCACAAAGCCGTTGAAACCCATTCGATCGATCTCGTCAAAGGTTCTCTTCTGATTGCCCAGAGCTCCGCCACTGAAAGGGAAAAAAACATCAAAACCAGTTACTGTGAAGAAAATTATGATCAATAGAATGAATTCTGGGGAATGCAGAATCAGAAAAAACATATTGTTTTTTTAACCACAAACTTTTGTTTCCCAATGAGGGGGCACTTTAAAATGCAGAAATGTAAGTTTACCAGATAATCTGATTTTGTGAGACAACTTATATAATTATTGCTCACCATGACGACTGGTCCAAATTTCTTCTAAATGTGCCAATTTGTATAAATGCAATAAAAAATCGGAATGTCAATGGAAGGTCTTACATAATTTTCATTTATTTATTTATTGTCAAAAATTTGAAAAAATGTAAGAAATATTATATTTTGCACAAGCTTTAATTAAAATACAATCCATTAGCAGGTGTTGTTAACAGAATGATTACAAAGTATTGAGTTATGGAATCATAGAATCATTTTCAATAAATATATTTCGTCAGACCATGCCTTCCTGTACGGTTTGCTATGAGGCGAAGCATTAGTGCTTCTCCATTGTAACGAGACCAGACTCTGCAACCATACAATCCATATAAAACAATTTGATTAGATATTCGAGTTTTATGTTTTCTAGTTTTCTATGTGCTCCGAACATGTAGATTGAATTGCGATTGAAATTTGCATGACATTTGTATATTAAAATACTCATATGTTTAAAAAATTACTTGTTATTTTTTATTATGTTATATTCTCGTAATAAATTGAGGTTAGTACTCACTTTTTTAGACATTCGATTAAAAAAGCAAATAATAATTTATCCATAGACTTTTTCCCTCGTCGATTTTTGCAGTTAGTATTCATGCACTCGGTCATCATCAAGATTTTTGTGATATTTCTAAAGGTAACTATTTACAAGATATTTAAATATTTGTAAAAATTATAATAGAATAATGGAATTTTCATTCAAATGAAAAATATGCCATAACAATATAAGATTTGTTTAGTCCAAAATTTAGCGCGAAATTCCCAGAAAAAGACACTTCAATATAAGTTAGAAACCATGAAGGAATTATAAACGGTGCTAAAGAATGGCACAGATTTTCCCATTTTAGTTTTCTATTTCCTTTGGTCTCGGATAAGTATTCGAACTTGTCACATACTCTTGAATGATGCCTTGGGCCTATCGGCACCCAAAATATATTTTAAAACATCTTATTTTTTCGGTTTCTTAATAGCATAACGGAAATATTATTTTAAGAATATTAACTAAAAGTAAAACATCACTCTAAATGGTAATTTTCTTTGAAAAAATTAGGGCGGTTTTTAAGAAAATGGCACATATGCGCTACATTAAATTAGAAATTTGAAGCATTTTTTCCCAAAAACTTTTGAGTTTTCGAAATACTTCATTTGAAATACTTTAACACACAATTACAATAATGTTTACAAATTGCTGGAAATGTGCATATTAACGGCGTGAGAGATTAAAAAAATACATTTGTGTAATTTTTGTAAACAAAAAATATCCAGAAATGAACTTTACATTATATTAAAGAGCGCAAGTAGCACTATCCGTTCGAAAAGGAAGGAAACATTTGGAGCCGTTTTTGAGAAAATGACGTTTGAGCGTTTCTGAAAATGCGGAATTGTGAGATAGTTTTCTCAGAAAAAGGTTGTTTTTAAGGAACTTGTTATTTAAAGCACATGTACTCATATATATAATGTAAAGACACTGCCGCTAATGAAAACATTAACAGTTATTAACTATCCGTATCAAAAGTTTAAAGACCAAATTTGAAGCCCTTTGTGAGAAAGTCTAGTTATTGGATTTTTTTAAGATTGTACATATTTCTCGCAAGATTGCCTGAAAACTACTAAAATGTTTTAAAAAAATGTACGTGACTTTAATTAAGAACAAATTATGGAACACAAATTTTACTTGATGGAAAAATCTCTATTTTTATTTTTGTAGTTGAGGGAAGACATCGAGATACCGAAATCATACTTTTGAAATTTTTGAAAATTCAGATTTAACCGTTAAATCGGACCTAATTCCACTTTTATAAATGAAAGTTACTCTATTGTTATAAGAAATGTAAAGAAAAAAAATGTTGCCATGTTTGAGAAAATATTGAAAATGTCCGGAGGGCTTCATGTAAATTATCCCTAAATTTTAAAGAATGATTTCCAAAGTCTCAAAGCTTCGAATCGAGCCAGATGGATACGGGTTTCTTCAATTTGGAAAAAAATCCATTGCATGGTTTACGCGCTAGTAGTGTTCACAGACGGACAGACGGACAGACGGACGGACGGACAGACGGAGTGTATTTATTACATAGATTTGACACTGGTAATCTTCTAAATTATACATAAGAACATGAAGTTATCAATGAAAAATTCGTGTATTAGACTAATGTTTGAATAGTTTAGTCTCAATTGCAATTCTCAACTTGGATTTTTTAGAAGCTAGTTTGTAAAACGAAGCTTGTAAAAAACACATATATTACTGATTACTGTTAATCTACTGATTTATATAGACACCATTAAAATTTCGTTTCCGTTCTATTTACGATTTGACTTTGTAGAACTTATTTCGTTAGAAGAGAAAGTTATGTATTCCCAGAAAAACGGTGGATTTTTGGTAGAAAAATAGAAATGAAAAAGTGGATAAATTATTTTGCTACATATAGTACATAACTTCCTCTACACGTGGTGTAAACCACTGTCCGTCGGTCTGTGGTGAACCACCTCATTCGTGCAGCCGATTTTCTTCAAAATTGATATTCACCGATCGATCTAAGTCAACTAGGGGCTTTGGGAGTTTCAAATGGGTATATTGATTTTTTAGGGTACTTTATGTGAAGCAGAAACATTTTCAAACATCTCTAAAATACGGTTCCAAATTTGTTGATTAAACTTTATTCTCGCATTGATTAAAAAGCGCTTAAGGAAATGGTGCATTTATCATGTTCATAGAAATCCCATGTTTTTCAAAAACTTGTAGAAAAAGTGCAATTTTTTAGCATCATTCTAATGTTCAGTACTGAACATTACTTTCCCTTACACGTACGTATATACGGAGTATTATTCGTAGTATAGGGAACGTTATGTAATACTGAGGATAATCGATCTCGAATTTTAACTGAAATACACATTTTGGAGTCCTCTGATATCGAAAAAGTAGTTTTTTTCAAAACGTGCGTCTGACTGTCCGTCCGTCTGTCTATCCGACTGTCTGTCCGCCTATCTGTCTGTCTGTCTGTCTGTCTGTCTGTCTGTCTGCGTAAACCATGCGTAGTTTTTTTCTTCAAATTGAACAAACCCATTTCAATCTGGTTCGAGTTCCACAAACATTTTGTCCACAAACATTTTCAAAATTTTCTCAAAAACTGTTATAAATGTTTCTTAAAATTTTTTGTAAGAACGAAGTAAAATACATCTATAAAAAGAGTAGATCCGATATAAAAAGAGTAGAAGTCTGTGTTTTCGAACATTTCAAAAATATGAATTGTTTAGGCGTCTTCGAAATAGAAATAAAGATTTTTCTTTCATATGAAATTTGTTGTCCATAATTAGTTCTTTCATTTAGGTTATGTACATTTTTTGAAAATTTAATAATTTTCGCTCAATATGTACAATTTTTAAAAATTACGAAAAGAAGATTTTTTCAAAATCGGCTCCAAACTTGTTCTTTGATATATTAGTAGGGATAATGCTAAATGTACTGTATAAGTACGCCGTATCACTTTAAACTTTTGTTTTTTTTAAGAATTACAAAAATGTAATTTTATTGACTTGTCTCTCACATCTATTTACATCAGCAGCAATTTGTTCACATTATTGTATTTATGAGTACATGTGCTTTAAATAATGTCATATTTCTCGAAAACACAGCCGTTTTGTTTGAAAATAGCTCAATATTCCGCATTTTCAGAAACGCTCAAACGTTACGTAGTTATTTTCTCAAAAACGACTAGAAATTTGTTCTTCAAACTTGTGCAACGGATAGTGATATAAATTACACTATTTAATAAGACGTAAAGTTTATTTTGGAGGTATTTTTTTGATTTTTCAAAAATTACAGTAATGTAGTTTTTTTAATTACTATAGTATTGTATTTGTGAGTAAATGTGCATAAAATTACTTTTAATGAAGTGTTTCTAAAACTCAATTTTTTTCTGTGAAAAAGAGCTTTAAATTTTAAATTTACAGTAGCGCTTAAGCGCTATTGTCTTAACAACGGCTCCAAATTTTTCAAAGTAAATTGCCATTTAGGACGATATTTTACTGTTTGTAATATTCTTAAAATAATTTTTTCTTTCTACTATTAGGCCCGAGTTGACAGTACATGTTTTTAGCTGGTTGAAAACACTTTTGTACGTTTATGATATAGTATAATTTAGCAAAGCTTTTGGAAACAATGCGAGAAAGTGCGTGTTGCAATATCATTAAGTTTAAAAAACAATCACTAGGTTCAATAATAATCGGGGAATAATTCACTGAAATTTTCCAGTTAATCAGTGAATGTAAACTTTTCAGAGGAAATGACTCACCTGAGCGGGTCCAACCTCTTGTTCCCGCCGAGGGTAACGCCAGTAAAGGTATCTGAAAGAAGTATTTAATAATTGGTCTTTGATTCACGAAGAACGGTGTACAAATATAGTGTGTTCTGATGAATACATCAAAGAAAATACTACTCACCTTACTGAATATAATTAAACCTACAAATAAAGGAAATATGAGCAAATCATCTGTTTCATTTCATTTAACATATCAGCGGTTCAAAGGTGATAAAGCGTCTTTTTATTTTCTTTATAGTCAGTAATCAAGAAAATATTTGTCAATATTTACAGTGAAATCACTGATTTGTATTTGAAGTGTGGAGTTTGATACAAACTACGTAATTTTTTTTATTTTAAATGTCTATAAGAGTGCAATTTATGCTTACCTTAAATATTTGTATTTTAATATTATATATAATTATATTATAATGCAGCTATTTGCTCTACATCGTTGCCGTTTCTCCATGCTCAGTCT